TAACAAGACAAATAATCTTACACATTCTGAAAACAAGATGATTATTCTTACACAATCAGTTCTTGTTTAATAAATCAGTCTCAAAACAAGATCAAAGACTTTTTTGGCTGGATATATGATTTTAAATCTTAGTAAAATGGACAGTTTTTGCTGCAAGTGCACTCTTAGAAAGAAGAAGCCCAACTTTTTCTTTTCTTTCATTTTGTTTTTGGGCATCTTGTCTTTCTGTTCACTGAAACACGTCTAATTTGTTTAATTGCAAGACGTTTCAAAGTTTTCTTGCTTTTTTTAAACAGTCACACAGCTAAATGCTGGTGCTAAGGTCGGAGCTTTATAGGACKTCTCAGAAAACTTTATTTCCACGTTTTGAGCTGCATGATGAATTGATGGCTGCAGGTTAGGACTGTTGCCTCGCAGCAACGAAGCTGCAGATGAAAACTCAGCAGGATCTTTCTTTTGAAGAGCAGCATGGGGGGTTTTCTTCCTCACACAGTCTGAAACGGTGCACGTTAGGTTTCATTTGTGATGCTAAATTGTTTGGGCACATCTTTGTCTCTGTGGCCCTGCGACGAACTGTCAGCCTGACCCGGGTAGATCCTGCCCGACACGCAGTGACTGCTGGAGATAAACACAGACTCCATGCGAGCCAGGACAGGATCCAGCAGGTAGAGGAAATAAACGGATGAGTGAATTTGCCATTTTTATTGGTCCACCATCAGCTCAGCTTAGTCTTTTAGACAGATGGCTTCACAGAATCTTCAAGCGCTCTTTGCTATGAAGCAGAATTCACAGTTGACTGTCAGAAGTCCCTGAGGCAGAAAGCAGCTCCAGCTGGTGAGAGACGTTCTTCTCCTTTTGGTGTGGAGCTTCATGTTACTGCAGCTTTGCTCTTCTTTTCAAATAAAGCCACGACTGTGAAATGTTGTGTGTCCACAGGTCAGAACTCTTCCTGTCTTTAGTCACGTGCATTTTGAATCAGTGGTTTTTGGATCAGCTCTGCTCATTGGCTAGATTTCTTTATTAGAATCAATTTTTAACTGTGTTGAACAGATCACGACTTTACTTTACTGGAGGTTTTGGGGTCTACTTCCATGAAAGGCCAGCAGCTAAGTGAGGATTCAGTGTCTGCTTGTTCAAATACGTGGAAAAAGTCAACTATTCCTGCAGGATGGGGCTTTTTTTTTTTTTTGGCAAATCTGTGAGCAGAATGTTACATTTCTAAATGGATTAAATATGCAGTTCACATCACACACCACCCTAATTAGACATTGGCTGCCTTCTAAGCCCCCTACAGTGCCTGACACCATGGATGTCTGTAAAACAGCAAACCACACATGTTTACGATGTGCTTCAACACCTCCGTGTCACAGACGTGCACACAGTGCTGCTCACGGAGCGACGAACACCCCGGCTTCTTTCCACGGAGTGAATTTRGTGAAATCTTGAGCTGTGTCATCACCTGCTGTTGTTTTCTTTTCTGTTTTACCTCGTACAGAGGCGTGACGTCCAGAGGACCCCCCTGTGCCTCCTGGACTTGTTAGAAACAAGCAGCAGAAACCTCTGTAATCGGGTGGCCGAGGTCACRCTGCACTGGAACATCTGTCCTCGGGGAAAAACCGGTGAATTACAGAAGGCCAAGAGGAGCGCAGACGGAAAGAGCAGGCCGGTTCAGGCTCAGACCAAACAACCAGRGACCCTTCAGGTCAGAGAAGARKTTWTTTTTTTTTAAATCAGCTTGAAAAGACTTCTCTGACGAGCTACAGTGGCACGGCATCAACACTGTAACTCCCTGATTCATGCTGGCAGCATTTGGACCTGGACTGGTTYTCCATTTAACGTTTTCAAAGGCAAGTTCACCCAATTATCTGATTTAAAACACCCACTCAAGTCCACCAGCAAGTGCTTTGGTCCTCATTTCCACCTAGCAACCAGAGACACCGGGCAAGGAAAGGAGGTGCAGTTTTGTTCCCCCCTGTATCTGGCAGCATGAAGGAATGAACAAATTAAGCGGAGGATTTCATACAGCTCGTCAAAATCCACTGGCCTGCAAATGGAGTGWAAGCAAAGGGTAATTGCCAGTTAGAGGAGTGCACCCAATTAAAACGGTTTATATGTGGCCGATGTTTGACTGTAAATCTCAGGAACTGGAGGAGAGATCAATCCCCATTTCACCCCTTTTTTTGGAGTTAAATTTTTCTGTGATGTTTCTATTTGAGTACACCTTTATTTTGGACGGTAAAAATAAGTTTAGCAAGTTCCTCCCCATTTCTACCCGCCTGATCCCCTCCGAATATTGATTATGGCTCAGCAGTGCTGCCAGGAGGAACACTGATTCTGCGCACAAGGAAAAGAGTAACCTGTTGCAGCATCTTCCTCACACACCTGAAATATTAACATCAGACACATTTGGCCAAATCCAGACGCAGAAACGATTCCTCGTTTTCAGTCCAATGTGACGTGATGCTCTCCTGCTTCGGAGACGCGCAACAGATTCCGCGCGCCGCGCGCGTAAAAACGCCACAAGCCGCTCCGCTCCTTACCTGTCGTCGCTCTGCCAGTCCCCGAGCAACAGGTCTCGGAATCGGTACCGAGGAGGCAGCGGGAGCACCTCCTTTTCCAGTTCCACCATGGTCTTCCTCTTGGAAACACCAAGCTATGAGAGGAAGAAAAAAAAAGCACCGCCGCAGATCGAGGAGATGCTCCGCAGAACCCGAAATTCTGCTTCTTCTGCTATTCGGAACAGAAATGATCAACGAGCACCTTGATGGCTCTCATGGCAGAGTCTGCGACCTGCTGTAGAGAAAATAAACTTATTCCCTTTTTTTTTTCCAGCATCGGCAAAGATAAAAAAAAACAACCCAGCTTCACTTCTCACAGCGAGGCAACAGGTCGCTCATCCGATCCGTCGGTGCGTTTGAGGAGGAGGCTCCACTTTTTTAGGCTCCTGTGGCAACAGGAGAGCAACTGGTTGTGTCTCCTGACAGCATCCTCCCTGCCTGAGCGCCACATGGACGCAGTGACTGGGAACCGTTCAGGGAACACGGTGCAGATGCGACATGCATCCAACGACTTACAAAAAGAGCAGATCAGATACAAAACCGCACACTTAAATAAAAATAATAAAAAAACATGTAAATTAACAAGAAGCGATTTGCATCAGTTAAAACAYTAGGTTATCAGATTATTACTGCTCTGCTGTTTGTCACGTGCACACACGTGGCCCCCAGAAACGTCCAAAATGTTCTGAAATGGGTTTTTTTTAAATGTTTGTGCAATCAGCTGCAGCTTAGTTTTCCAACATTTTAACTCAGCTTTTTTTTGAAACTGCATAACCAAAGTAACACATCCAAGTCATCAGGTGGTGAATATTATAATTCATTTTTAGGACATTTAACACGATTCTGCACTGCTTCAAACTGAGCTCTGCTGCTCCCTCATCCATRTGCTCTGTATAATGAGGCAAAAAATGAAGACAAAAAAATCACTTTTAAAAAAGCAGAATAAAGTGTTTTAATGTTTTTTTTTTAATTACAAAGATGTTCACATTTCTCTGAGGGTTTGATAAAAGGTTCAGGGGTGCCTCCAGGGTGTTTTTTTTTCTTTCTTCCTAAGGGGTGGCCAGGTTGTGGGGTGGGCACACTAAACACAGAAGCTGTAAGAGATAATTTCCAATTTATCATTGCATTTCTATATTGGCGTTTTGAAAAATACGGCAGCATAAAAGCCAGGAAACTGCTCTCTGATTCAGGCTTACTTCAGTTAAATCATCCCTCCCTGACAAAAGGTGACAGTGTTTGCCTTCATATGTTAGCAAAATATCTATCAAAGAATATGAAACTAGCAAGTAGCCTAATCATTGGATATACAATAACTAACTTTTAGAGTAACAGTGCTCAAGATGGCAGAGTTATAAAGTAACTAAGAACAAATACTTCGTTAATGTACTTAAGTAGAATTTTTTGGGAATCTGTACTTAACTTGAGTAATTCTTTATCAGCCTACTTTTTACTTATACTTCTTACATTTTCACACAATTATCTGTACTTTCTACTCCTTATATTTCAAAAAAAAAAAGCAAGAAGTAGAAAGTCGTTACTTTTATTTCATTTTGGCTTGTTTTCATTCCAGTTTGTTATTGTAAAAAAATACTATCCATATACAGCGGGTAAAATAAGTATTGAACACGTCACCATTTTTTCAGTAAATATATTACTAGAGGTGCTAATG